GGGGGGGGGGGGGGGAAGAGAACGGACAGCAAAGGGGACCTTCCACTAGGGTCAGGGAATGCAGAGGCAGAGCAGGCAGGAGTCCCGCAGCCATCGTCGTCGATGGTTTGGGACTCGCTCTCGGAGATCTTGCGTTCAGCCCTCATGTACCTCGCAGCTGCTCCCTGTACACGTGGATACCATGCATCCTCAAGAAATCGTGGAAGAGGAGGAGCTGGAGCGGATGAAGGCCCTGCTACAAAGGGAGAATCTCATCCGAAGCCTCGGTATCATAGAGCAACTCAGCCACATGCTGCACCCCAGCCACCGGGGCCACAGAAGTCTTCACGAGTATCGGGTGAGGGTCCCTGCGCAGCATCTCGCAGAACCAGGGAACAAGGGCTGCACCGGCACACAGGGGTGGCCGCGGCCCAGAAGGCTAACGTGATGGTGTCTGGCAGGCACGGAGCCTGGGAGAGCAGCTCCTGCTGGGCGCTGGGAAGGGGTCTCTTGGTTGCTTTTGCATTTGCTCCCACGCTCCCTGGTGTTTAGTAATGACATCCGGCAAAGTGCAGCTCCTGACCTACTCGCGAGAGATGTGTTCTCTTTATTCCAGCCTTGCAATAACCCCAAACTCATGCCTGACGAATAAGAAGGCCACCACCCTCAGTGGCTCCTGTGTAATCTCTCTCTAGCCCTGCCAGTGCCGTGGCTCTAACGGGAGATAAGCAAACAGACTTGGGCCAAAGAGAACAGCTGCCGCGTTCACTGTTCCCTGGGCAGGTGTCAAGCCTGTTGGGTCTTGTTTTTGCTGAGCCCCCAAGGAGTAATTGGTTAAATAGCGGCCACGGCCTAGAAGAGACGTTTCGGTTACCTGTTTTCTTCCTCCAGTCCATCCAGCCTCACAAGAAGTGTGGTAAGGGGCTGCTCTTCTCCTCTAGCCTAGATTTCACCAGGACGGGCTGGGCAGTCAAGAACTGCAATCTGTGAGTCTGGTCCCACTGGTCCTCCCGAGAGGGGCCACCAAAGAGCAGGGCCCTCCTCACTTCCTGCATCCAGTTCGGCCCCACGAATTGATCCCCAGGATCTTAGGGCCACAGCCAAGCATGAATGCTGCAATTCCACATCATTCCTGGTGCCATCTACAGCCCAAGAACTTCAACTGGATTGGAGATCGAGCAGCCATCGGCCCGTCTTCGTTGTCAATGAAAGCATCGGGAAGGCACTGTTTTCCCAGTGCCAGAGTCAGGCTCAGTAGCCGTAAGTACGCAAAACTAGCTCTGGTCACTCTGGCTTGTGTAAATCCCCACTGGCAACCATTACAGCTGGGACAGTCCCAAAACACCACAGGGCACTTCCACCAGTGTGGGAATGGGATGGGTAGTGGACCCATTACCTCCTCCTACATACTGGACCCTGGGACAAATGGCAGTACAGTCCTAGCACTCAACAAACACAACAGGGAAACAGACAAGTAAACAATTACAATACAGTGTGGCAAAGATGCTGGAGGGAAGCGAGGGATGCCATTCTTCTGTGTTGGTAATTGGGTGACAGTTGGTAAAGAGGGAGTGAATCTCCTGTGAATACCAACTCAGGGGGACCCATGTTTCCACTGCAGAAGGCCAAGCGGGCAGAAGGCTAGAAGCCATAAACAGAGCCCTGGCAGGATCAGTGCCATCTTCTTTAACCCCAAAGCAGGGCTATCTTCTGCAACCGGAAAGAGTGGCAAGTAGCTCATGGACTCACTGCACCTTGCCCTCGGTGGTAGACACCGAACACAGTGCACCCAAGGCCCAGGATCTCGCTCTCTGCCCTGCCTCTACGCCCCTGATGCAGCATACCACTCCACTCCTTGACATCAGCCGCCACCGGTAAATGCAGGACGGAAGCCCAGCACTCCACCTCTCCTGGAGAACCCCCTCATGTTTCCGAAGGCGCAGAGGGCCTTCAATCTTCGCTAAATGAAAGACTGCCACCAGGCTTCAGTTTGAAAAGTCCTGGCCAGGAACCCTGCTTGAACAAGGCAAAACACAAAGATATCAAGAATTCCTCAATACCCTAAGACTATTTCCAGATCCGTAAAGACTCAAAAGATGAAGAGGGGCCAGGGCCGGCATCTCCGCCCTTCAAACCTTAGCCTGGATTTATCGCTAGGAGATGGGTCTGAACGCTGGGTGCAGCCCGGGGCTGGAGGTCATCCTGGCGACAAGGGGCCCCCTTCCCAGAGGAGCCGAGTGCCCAAGGCACGGGGCAGTCGCCATCGGACGACCGCCAAGGAGAGGCCCTTCCCCCTGCCGTGGCGGAGACAGGCCGGCCTGGGAAGCCATTGGGGCGGAGGGGTGGCTCTTGGCAAATGACTCCGACTTTTTATTAAAGTTTATGCGTTTTCCAGGAGCGTTCTCCAGCTCATTCCGGCCCTTGCGTTCCAGGGTAAACGCTCGCCACTGTTCTGTCCGGAAGGGTGAACCGCAAGCAGGTTCAATCCCAACTAACGCACCCTCAGCCGGAAGCGGAAACCACGCACGACCATCCTGGCTTTCGCCGCGCCCTTCCACTTCCGGCCCCGCCCCCAGACTTCCGGTCTCTCTGCCCCTGTCAGACCGTCCCGGGCTGTTTTTGTCGACATGGCGGTGGCTCTGAACCTTTTGCTGGGCTTGCGTGTTCGTGCTGCCGTGGCTCGCTGTGGTTTCGCGACCCGGGGGATGGTAGACCCGGGCACGCTCGGCCGGGAGCCAGACCCCGATTCCGACTGGGAGCCGGAGGAGCGGGAGCTGCAGGAGGTGGAGAGGTACCGGCTGCTTCCCGGGCCCTCAGCCTGAAGCAGGGCTTCGCGCCCCCTTGGAGCCGGGCGTTGTAGCGCCGCATCCGCCGCAGCCCTTGTTTCTTACCCGTTGTTAGGGGGCGCAGGGGCAGGTGTGCGGCTCCTTTGGGACGGCAGGTTTCTTCACCAGTGACGTGTTTCATCACCCGTTTAGAAAGTTCGGCATGCTACGGGCTGTTTTAGGGATTATCTGGGGAGGTTACAGACGTGGCCTGGTTTCCCTTGCAAACAAAGAGAAGAGGGCTGGGCCTGTGATTTAGCGCGAGGCTCTTCAGCCACCCGTTTTGCTCCCACGCTTGGCTTCTGCCATTGGTTCTCTCCCCCAGCACCCTGAAACAGCAGAAAAAAGCCGCCCGATTCCAGAAAATTCGGAGACAAATGGAGGCGCCGGGTGCCCCGCCCAGGACCCTGACGTGGGAAGCCATGGAGCAGATCCGGTGAGAATCACTGTAATAGTTTACTTTTTATCATTTTAAGTTTTCTAAATGAAAAGGAGAATAGATGAATTTGCATAAGCCCGTCATCTAAATTTAGTAGTTTTTAACATGAGGACACGGTTCGTTTTTGCTGAAATTTTAGAATAGTAAGCTGTAGACCTCACAGCCTTTAACTTCAAAATAGTTGTCATGACGTTCTTAAGCTAATGTCAGGGATGGGGACTTACAAGGTTATGTACGTTTTTCGGAAGAGCAAACCCATATCATTAAAATCTTAGATCCCTTTTTAAGTTTTAAGTTTGTTTTAAATAACAATGCGTGGCATATAGTTCAAAATTAGAACATTATTTGTACACATTGAGAAGTTTTAATCCCTCCCAGTCTTCAGTGAGACTATTTTTAATGAATTTTTGTGCCTTTTTTCAGGTTTCCTTAAGCAAATACAAGCGACTATGAATGTAGATTAACTTTTCTTTCCTTTTTTTTTTTTTTGCATGTTTAAAAAAAAATTTTTTTTTTAACGTTTATTTATTATTGAGAGACAGAGAGGCACAGAGAGTGAGCAGGGGAGGGGCCAGAGAGAGGGGGAGACACAGAATCCGAAGCAGGCTCCAGGCTCTGAGCTGTCAGCATAGAGCCCAACATGGGGCTCGAACTCACAAACCATGAGATCACGACCTGAGCCAAAGTCGGTCGCCTAACCAACTGAGCCACCCAGGTGCCCCTACTTTTATTTTCTTAAGCACAAACAGTAGAATACTGTAAATACTGTTCTACACGTTTCTTTTTTCATATAGTTTTTGGTTTGTTTTTTTTTTTTAAGATATTTTCACATAATTTTTACACTCAACACGGCACTTGAACTCACAACCCAGAGCTTAAGAGTCTCATGATCCATTGGCCCAGCCAGCCAGGTGCCCCTTTTCACATATTTCATAGATCTTTCCTCTTCAGAAGACAAAGCTCCTTTTTGAAGAAGTAATAGTAAATCGTAATTTTTGTTTTTAATTTTAAGTAATCTTTCTGCCCAACGTAGGGCTCACACTCGGGACTCTGAGATCAAGAGTTGCATGCCCTACCGGCCGAGGCATCCAGGCGCCCCAGCAAATCATAATTCAGTTAACCAGTCTTTTATGAAGTGTGTTTCGGTTGTTTGCATTCACTTGCTATCACAGATAGTACTCTGATGAGTAACTTCATGTACACCTCGTTCCACATACCTTCCACGTGTATTTGTTGTGTACATTTCCAGAAGTAGAGTTGCTGCGTGGAAGGACACATGGATTTGCCTTTTGATGAATATTGCTAAGTTGCCTTCTGTAAGTTGTGTGGCATTTCCCATTCCCATCAGAGTGACTCTGAAACAGACGCTTAGAATGAAGGGGATTCTATAGAGCAAGGAGATTTTGTGAGCCTGTAGTACTTCTCTCATGTCCACTTCCTTTCCTTTCTGGAACAACTGCTCTTCCACATCTTCCTGTCACCTCCCCTTCTGTGGCTAATAAACGTCCTTTTAATTGGCCATTAATTAAGAGCTCTTTAAATGTTTCTTTATTTTTGAGAGAGAGAGCTTGAAGGGGGAGGTGGCGGGCAACAGAGGATCTGTGCTGACAGCAGAGAGCCAGCCCGATGTGGGGCTCGAACTCAGATCGTACCTGAGGTGAAGTCGGGTGCCTAATCGAGTGAGCCACCCGGGCACCCCTAGAGCCCTTTAAAGCTTCTTAGCCTTCCTCCTTATTTTCCTTGCTCGATGTTAATACCCTTATTTACATCCCAGGGGAAGTGGTAGCCCTTCATTTGTCTAGGACCCATCCTCTGTGTGCACTAAGTCTTAGATGTATCTAATTCCCCAGAGACCTACTGTCAACTTAAGGTTCTCCCTCACCCGTTTGTTCTTTGGCTGCCTACCCTTTGTTGTCTTGTTACAACAATGAAACTGTTGTCCATTAATCTTATCAGTGACTTCCTCAGTGCTAGGCATTCCTGCCATTCCAGTCTCTAGCCTCCCTAACGTTTTTTGCAGCGTGTGACCCTGTACTCTGCTGTCTTGAGATTCTTTCTTCCCTTGACCACGGTACTAGTCACTTCTCTTTCTAGGACACCTTTTCTCAGTTTCCTTCCTGGGGTACCCTTAGAGTTGTGTCCTTGGTCATTTTATCTCCCCATATTTCCCTGCCTAAAGCCAGCCACTCGCGTGGCTTCGGCCACCATTGGTCTTGGCTTGTGACTTCCAAGTCTGTCGTCTCCCGTCTGTGTTTATCTTTTGACTTGTACATCTTCAACTGTGCGCTAGCCCATCTCTGTTTGAGTGTCACGTAGGTTCTTCAAACTGAACATAATCGCAAACTCAACAAGAGAGAATTTATTGTTGTCCCCTGGCAATTTCACTTTGTTCCTGTTTTCCCCGTACCCCTGAAGGTTCCCACCAAACACTCAAACTGAAATCTGGAATCTCTGCCTACTTCTACCTCCAGTTATTTAGTCCTTACCAAGTTCTTCCGTTTGGCCTTCCTAAAATATTCCTCAACTCTCTTCCTTCTCTGCTTTCATTGCGGCTGCCTCAGCTCAGACTGCCGAGATTACCATGAAAGCCTCTTGGCTGATCCTTCCATTTCTAGTGTTGCCACTGAAAACTACCCCCCTAGATTGAGCTTAAAAAAGGAAAAGCTGCTCATGGCATTCCATTGCTTAAACTCCTTCCTGGATCTGCTTGTGGTTTGCCATAGCTTGGATGTCCTGAATGGCAATTCTTTTGCTGTTTTTTTTAATTCTTTTTTGTTTTTAACGTTCATTTATTTATTTTTGAGAGAACATGTGCGTAAGCGGGGGAGGGGCAGAGTCAGGGACAGAGAGAATCCCAAGTAGGCTCCGCACTGTCAGCACAGAGCCTGCCATGGGGCTCG